CAGAAGCGGCTCTGGATGGTTTCGCCATTGTAAAATACATACGATTACTGTAAAAATAGTGGCTTTTCTCGGTTTCACATCCTATTCCAGCTCGTAGCTCTAGATACCAAAAAATCGCCATCTCCAAAGTTTGATATGCTGTAGAGCAAAAAATTCTGCACAAAATGTTTTTTTTTAAAATTTAAAACTTTGTTTCTTTTTATGTTTGTTAAAATTTTGTTTTTATTGTAGTTATGTGATTTTTCAACAAAATTAAAAAAACGCACTTAAAAATTCAGGACATGACAAATCCAAAAAACCAAAAAGCAGTAAATTCTAGTCATAACAAGCTAAATTACAAGTCTGTAAAGATAGGCATGTCAAGTAGCAACCTGGCAAATTTTGCCACTTTGAAAGAGTGTAACTTGGCGAGAAATTCACTTTTCCAGGTTTTTTTTTGTGGCTTTCTTTATGCTCGCCTTAGACTCTACTAATCAGCAAAATTTAAAGAAAATCTGAGACAGACTCTACTAACAACAAAAAATAAAGAAAATCTGAGATATGAAGGGAAAAAAGTGTGCGATATGACGTGGAATGGCCCACATATATAGTCACTTTACAACTTTGAATTCTAAAGGGCACACTACCACTAAAGTGAGTTCCAAGCTCGTGGCACCAATAAATTAAGTTCTGTAGTAGGACTTCTAATCTTTACAGTAACTTAATTGGAGCTAATTTAAGACTCAACTAAACATCTCTTATTACGGTTGATTTCTCTTTGTCAAAATACCGTAACTAATTCTTACTTACCTAGGGTTTCTTATATTAAAGCTTCTCATACTCTAAGTTCAGTTCTGTTTTTATAATTCCTAGCTATAAAGTGGATTAAGGTAGATTGAAAGACGAATAGAAAATAAGTTTGTTATTTTTGACGGGGTGAGGGCACAGTTAGATTACACAAATATTATTTTAGCTAAAGCGTTGCCCAAATTTAACAAAATTATTAAAATACTCAGAGTAAATTTTGAAGCAGGACTAATAGTTTGCAAGAGCAAAGACAGACAAATTATTTAAATTTAACAGTAAGCTTTGCAACAGATTGTGAAGTTACACTGACCTGCAGAATAAATTTCAAATTTGACCACATACAGTAACGTTTTCAAATTTGATTTCAGAACAGCATAAACTTTCTACCTTCTTTAATTGGTTTAAACAAAAATATTTCCCACAAGTTTATAAACTGTAGTTGAGTAAGTACATAGTAAAGCAAAAACTAGTAAAATAAAGAAATCTTATTCTAGTAACTCCTCCTCAATTAAATTAACATTACTGAGCACAAATTTTGAAATTTGAGTTGTGTCGCCTACTTTTAAAATTCGGCTTAATTACAGTATAAGAAAGAAATTTACACTTATTCTTTCAAAATTTTATGGTTCTTTTACATTTGGTTACTTTTAACAAAAGACAATAGCTGTCAAATTTAAATGACGC